GCTCACCGCAACCTCCGCCTCCTCGGTTCAGGCAATTCTCCTGCCTCAGCCTCCTGAGTAGCTGGGATTACAGGCACGCGCCACCATGCCCAGCTAATTTTTTGTAGTTTTTTAGTAGAGACGGGGTTTCACCATGTTGATCAGGATGGTCTCAATCTGTTGACCTCGTGATCCACCCGCCTCGGCCTCCCAAAGTGCTGGGATTACAGGCTTGAGCCACCGCGCCCGGCCATCATTTTTTCATTTATTTTATAGAGACAGGGTCTTGTCATGTTGTCCGGACTGCTCTTCAACTCCTGGCCTCAAGCAGTCCTTCCACCTCAGCCTCCCAAAGTGCTGAGTCTACAAGCCTGAGCCATGGTGGCCGGTCCACGTCTTAGTTATTTATTTTTTGAGACAGAGTCTCTCTCTGTCACCAGGCTGGAGTGCAATGGTGCCATCTCGGCTCACTGCAACCTGCGCCTCCTGGGTTCAAGTGATTCCCCTGCTTCAACCTCCCAAGTAGCTGGGACTACAGGTGTTCGCCACCATGCCCAGCTAATTTTTTTATTTTTGGTAGAGTTGGGGTTTCACCATGTTGGGCAGAATGGTCTGGATCTCCTGACCTCGTGATCTGCCTGCCTTGGCCTCCCATAGTGCTGGGATTACAGGTATGAGTCACCGTGCCCGCCATGTTTTAGTCCTTAATCTTTTCCCCTGCATGGCTGAGGGCAGAGGCCAGGCAGGAGCATCTGAGAGACCCAATCCCACCATGGCCAGTTAGCAGCTGTGTGACCTCTGGTGGTGGCATTACTTTGCTGAGCCTGCCCAGAGGGTGACTGTGTGGCTTACAGGATATAGGGCACAGAGTTCCCACTCCAGAAGCAACCCAGCACATCCCTGCTACCCCACGGCCCTGGCAGCCTCGTGGGCTGGGAATAGCCAGTTGCCTCCCTCCTGGGTCTTCGGTGGGCTGCAGGGAGCGGTGGGTGCATGGAGTCCCTGGTGCTGAGGTCCGTTGAGTCCCACCTGCCTGTCCCTGTCTGCCTGACTGCCATGCCCAGGTGGGTTTGCAAGCACATCAAGAAGCCCATCCGCTCCACCGTCCTCAGCCTGGACTGGCACCCCAACAATGTGCTGCTGGCTGCCGGCTCCTGCGACTTCAAGTGCCGGTGAGACTGGGCACCATGGGGGAGGGTGGGGCTGATGTCAGCTGACTGCCAAAATCACAGCAGGGATTGGGGGGGTTGGGAGACCCCCACCTGAAACTTCTACACCTCCCCTTCTAGACCTCCTCCAGAGCTGCTACCAGTGGATGACCTGGGCATCAGTTGAAGGTTCTAGTCCCTGGGGAACCAACCCTTCATGTCTCAGCAGGACGTGCCCCCGCCCACCTGTTTTATTTTTTTGAGATAGGGACTTGCTCCATTGCCCAGACTGGAATGCAGTGGTGTAGTCATAGCTTATTGCAGCCTCCAAATCCTGGGCTCAAGTGATCCTCTTGCCTCTCATCCTCCCAAGCAAGACTACCATGCTCAGCTAGATGGGCTTTTTTTTTTTTTTTTT